CCTTTTTCTGCCCCGCTTTTCCGTTCCCATTTTTTTCCTATTTTTTTTCTTCTTTTTTTGTTGTTCTTTTTTTATTTTCGGTATGAACCGGGCTAATGAAAGACGGACTGCGGCATTTTTTTGCCGATTCAATCCCCCTGGGGCATTTTTTTGCCGCCTGGGGCGTTTTTTTGCCATTTAATCAACCAGGTACAGACGGCGGGAGAATCTCGCTCTCGGATTATGACGAGGACAATTTACTACGAGGATGTGGGACACGTGGGACCATAGACAGAACCCTGTTGCATTGACCCTAGGTTCCTTTTTGCCCCCCTCTTTTTCCTTGTTCCTTGTCGTTTTTTCTTGTTTTACTTTTTTCCATTTTTCTGATTCCTTTGTTCTAATAACTTTTTTTGACCATAGGATCGGGGTACTAAACGGATGGATAGAAGTGGTAGCTTCCTGCATAAGATTACTTTTCCTAGCTGGGCACCGTGACTATTTAAGAAGAGAACACAAGCGTTCTATTCATCGGACCACCGTGCGGTAATCATTTCTGACAACGGGAAGTGCATAATGCATTCCGGTTTCGCGATGTGCAAGGGATGGGATCGGTAGCGAGCGATATGAACTTCTTCGCCGACTGGACCTAGAGGAAGAACAACAGGAACTCGAGGAAGTGGTAACGTCCCCGACAAGCGGCACTCTCCCCGATCAGGCCCTCGCAACCCACACCTAGGCACGACCTAACCAAGCGCAATGCAGACCCCTTCCACCTGCCCCGCCGAATCTGCTGCGCCTCACCCATGCCCTTTCGCGGGTAGCGTTGTCTTCTCACTCCTCTTCCTCCTTGCGCTGATCCCGAATCTTGCCATAGTCTGCTCGCTCCTTGCTGCATGTCTCTCCGAGCAAGTGTTTCTTCGTCTTTCCGCTAGGCGCTTTGCGCTGCTAATCGGGAGCGTCATTTGCTTCCTTACACTCTTCCTCGCATGCTGCTGCTGCCTTTTCCTTAGCTCGGCACCGCACGAGGATTTTCGATCTAGCTAGGAAGAGCGGCGTGGAGTGGGAACGATGGAGCATAGGGCAGCAGCCAAGGCCTCGCCGTGTGGTTTTTTGACATTTCTCTCCTTCCTCTCCTTCCTCTCCGTTCTCTACTTCATCCACTCCCTTCCCTATCCCCTACCACATGGACCCCCCTCCCCCCTCTTCCCCTCGACAGAACTCCCTCCTCGACCCCAAAACCGACCATCATCCTTAAATTGCAACGCCCCCCCTCGCCCCCCCTCACCCCCATCACCTTCTAAAGTTCATGGAAGATGTCGCTCCCTCTGATGACGCCCCACGTGGCATGGGGCAGAAAAGCGCTTCAGGGTTTTGCCACACCCTTCCCGTAGTTTCGACGAGATGATCCGCGCGGATGAAGGAGCGCTTTGGATCTCGAGGACAAAGCTGAAGCGGGATCTTCTCTCCCTCTCCCTCTCCCCCTCCTCCTCTCCCCCCCCTCTCTCTCACCCTCTCTCTCTCTCCCCCTCCACCTCCCACTCTTCCCATCGTATCTCTCCCCTCTCGACCTTCAGAACCATGGCGGAGGATAACGGCTGTCTATGGCATAATGTTTGTATAGAAACAATAATCTGTGTAATCTCGTCTACGCTTGTCCTTTTTCCTTTTTTTTTTTTTTTTTTTTTTTTTTTTTT